CAACGATGTACAAGAATCCCATCGCTTGCTCCATTCTGGATTTTTACCATATATATATCTTGTCATATTTTTCATCCATTTAAAGTCTTCTACTGGATTTTTTTCTTTCTTATGCAGCTCAAAATCTTCAAACCTCTTGGTGCACATGTTAGTAAAAGCACAATCCAAAATTGCACAATCTTGTGGGAACACAGTAGGATATGTATGCATTCGTGCCCTCATCAACAACAACACTACGTCAATGTGCTGTAGATGTATAAAGCCGTTTAAGAATGAAATGAAGTATGAGAAAAATATAGAATGCTAAAGTACTTACATCACTATCGAGCCATCCAAATTGCTTCTGAATTTCAATAAAGAAACTTTTTGGCTTCGTGAACATCATTATGTCCACATGTTTACTGCATAAAACAAATAACATAAGAACATAAATTACAACTTCACAAAAATAATTAATGTAGGAATAGTTACCTGTCAGGTGCATTAACCAACCAATTCTGTAAGTCATCTGCCTTAGCCTAATCTAGCTCTCGAAATGGGTCAAATGCGTTTACATTGCGAAGCTTCCTCCTCTTCTCCGGATTTGTGAACGGAGATTTAAGAACAAGTGACCTTTTCTTGATTCTCATCCCGCGCCCAATCTGACTAGACTTATCAGACTCATCTTCCACCACTATAGGGATGGACTCCATTACATCACCATGTGCTATAGAATCCATCGGTACACAGGTATCTCTCTCTTCCACACGAGTTTCATCATCATTCGGCAAATCTGTTGCTTGCCTTTGCTCATTTTCCACTTCAATGGGATTTGGACAGTTATTCATATCATCTGCTTGTTTTTGTTCATTGCCATATGCGGGCAACATTGCTTCTTTTACAATAACTGGTTCATTCGCCAACACATAATCTTCCACTTCTCTCTCCTCATTGTCATCTTGGTTCTCATCATTTTGAACTTCTACATGTACAAGTGGATCCTCATTTACATCACATGCTTCTCCAGTATTCATAAATCCACTACGAAGAGGAGAGTGATATGTGTAAGGTGTTGTTGACGGGTTAGAATTCTTCATCCACTCCACAACAGATGATATCTTCTCATCAATTTGTCTACAAAAGGATGTAACACAATCAAACCTTTGGCCTATGTAAGATCGCATCTCATCTATCCGCCCTTCATTTTTCCTCCCTAAAATCTCTACCATCTGTAGTAATTGCATTCTCAATTCCTGAGTGAACTCATCTCTAGATGGATACAGAGATGGATATGATGTAGATGGTCCCGGATGAAATGTATAAGCATCTGTAGACGTAAGTGGCCTATGAAAAGAAGATGGCTCCCGAGGAGATGTAGAGGCATTAGGAGAGTGGCAAGTTTGCTGAGGAAGATCAACACGAATGGACGAATTTGCTACATTCTCCTTATCCACAAAGATATCAACTGTCGGATCCTCTACTTCATCCTCGAATCGATGAATCTCTGTCCAATATGCTTTGGAAGCCTCTTCCGACGTAGGCTTCAGTGTGCAATGAACAACAATCTATATGAAAAATGAGAGGCGCACTTAGTTGTTATAAAGTACACTACATATTTTGATGTACATTTAAAATTTACTTACATTTGGTTCGTCCATACTTGCACCAATATCCTTGTAGTTATGCATTTCAAAAGAATTCCATCGACATATTCTGGGGAGGTCAGCCTCCTGTAGATTCTCACCATATCTCCGTCCAATAGATGGTATGGCTTCATAGGCCCAAATCTGCATAAGATGCAAAATATTACAATCTACGCAAAATGAATAATAAATTATAATTTTAAAAACATTACCTGCAAGGCAAGTGGAAATCCATAAATTGAATATGGATATTTCTCATTATTTATCAAGTATGACTTCACCAACGATTTCCAGTCTCTCGTGAATACATCAATTGTGCGGGCAAACGCCTTTCTCCCCCAAGGATAACTATTAAAAGCATCTAGGTCATCAACTATTGACAAGTGTTCTACATTTATGTATGTGTAGCTTTCTTTGGGCAGTAGTACCGTTTCCAAAATATATACAAGCCCAATCTTGTACTTGTCTTCCATACGCACTTTGCGACTTTCAATAGCTTCCTTCAAATTGTGCACCGTTATGCCTTTCTTACACTTTTTAAAGTGTTTCTTCACCAATCTATCATTAGTCACAATATGGGGCTCCAACGAAGACTCCTCACAAGCTCTCAACCCCGTTATCAATGAGAACTCGTATAATGAAAATCGTGTTGGCTTACCTCCAATTGAAAACCAGATCTCATTTTGTTTTTTGGTTATAATCATTCTCAATACAAGTTGGTGGATTAGCTGTGCTGAAAAAGGTATGCGCTTCATTCGATATAGTTGTCCAAAACAAGATTCCATCAACATTTCTTGATGAACATCATCTAACATTTCCCGAACATAGTCAAGTTTTTTAAGGGAAGACTTCTGCGAAGGCCTGCCTTTAATTCTATGTTCAGTGGGAATCACATAATCAAATGAGCATTCCATTTCTGTAATGAAAAACATAAAATAATCATGCTAAGTTATCAGAATTACATAAACGGTAGGGTGACATTTTCAGAATTGCATAAACGGCAGGGTGACATTTCCAAAAAAAAATAAAACAATCTAATTACTGCAGGTGACATTCTTTATGAAGATGGTTGAATCTGTAAGTAAATTACAGGAGAGAAAGATGAGCTCGCATATTGATGGTATTGAAATGGATTCAGATGGAGTTTACCCCAAGGATTAACTTTTTATTAGACATACAGTTGGATTCTATCTAAAATTCAGAATCGCAAAAATGTAAAACTTCACAAAATGTCTTATTGATGCAAAATTGCTACTACAAAACATGACATATAAACAAGATTCTTTTAAAAGTTGAATTCTACTTGACAATACGATTATCTTAAAATAGAATCACAATTGTCGGTTATCCAAACTCCAGTGGATGTAGAAATGAGTGTAACTAATCTATCCCTACACAGTAAGTATTAGAAAAACTAGAAGAGGACTACTGCTTAATAAACACTATCAACTTAATGAAGTATTTTTTGCTATGTGCACAACAAATATTCAACTTACACATCTTTCTGTATAACGTTGCACTTCCAAAAACAAACATTGTAAATAGGCTATTCTACCCAATTTCCACATCTTATTAAATTATACAAAAATAAATAAATATTTCCTACACCTCTGCCAGGAGAAAAAACTAGAAAAGCTAAATGAATTGGCCATCATATTCTTCTTGTAAATTATTGAATTAACATATTTAAGTCTGGGAATATTTTTATTGTGTTATTTTATGTATCTTAACTTTGATCCATGGAATAACATCTCCAGTTTATGCAATTCAGATAAATAGTACAATGCCGGGATTCCCAGTACATACATTACATTTTCTCAACATTGTCATTTATAATTGTTCAGGCTCCAAGCGAAGTAAATAAAAAAGAAACGAATTTATCAAGAAAACGAACAACCCCACGCCCAATTTAGTATTGTTGAAGCGACATCAATTTACCAACGCTGAATATATTCAGAAGATTCAACAAGAAAACGCTAAATGTCAGCTTCAAGAATTCAATTCGAAAATCCAGAAAAAAACAATAAAGTCAACCAAGAACCCAAAATCGGCACTTCAAGAAATGATCAATATCAACCAATTCAACTAAAGCACAGATAGTTTTCATTTTAATTACTAACTCAAAATCCAAAAAAGCAAACATAAAAAGAAATAATCCTCTTCGAAAAATAGGCACTGGTAAATAATGGATAAACAGAAAAAACTACAAACTTATAATAATGAAAATCAAGATAATAGATGTTTAACTTTTCAACAATAGAAAAAATACCTGTTTCTTGAGTTGCGCGGGCTCTAGAATAAGAATCAAGGATCTGTACTATTGGTGAAATAGAGAATAAGAATCTGTACTATTTATTCACCTATGAATAGTAAGAAACCAGATACGGAATAGTGGAGAACCGGTTTGTGAAAAACAAGTGTGAAACCTCTTCCACTAGAATAAACAGCCCTCGTTTGGCCCCCATTTTGTAGAAGTGAAAATGGGTGGAATAGTATTTTATTTTTTTAAAATGAGTGATTGAAAAAGAAGGACAAATTTTTGATTTACGTGTAATATTATTTTACGAAAAATTGTATGATTGAAAATAGGAGAGAGAAAAATGAAATGTAACGTAATAGAATTTAATGGGGGCTAAACGGGGGCAGCAAATGATTGTTTCTCTTTTTAAGGTAGTGTATTTAATTTATTCACCTATGAACAGTAAGAAACCCGATAGGGAATAGCGGGAAACTGGTTTGAGAAAAACAAGTGTAAAACATACTCTACTAGAATGTACAGTAAATGGTTGTTTCTCTCTTAGGTAGTGTAGATAGATGTAGATTTTATCTAATTTATATTTAATTTATCAATATTAATATTTTATGTGCATTTAAAATTGGATTAGGATGATATTTTGCATCTATTTATGTGGAAGTGGACAATACATTCTTCAATTGTATTTTATTTTATATAATCAATTAAAGTTTGTGCCCGCTACGTGCCAACTGGTGCTCATTAAAGTAGCTATTTAGGATGCGTTTGATTGCAAGATGGAAAATTACATAGAAAGAAAATATTCTCCAGGCAATTGAATTGCCTAAAAATTATTTCCGTGGAAATTGTCAATTAAATGCGTTTGATTGACTTAATTTTTCACTTAGAAAATATTGTACTTTTCCATCTTTTTGTGTTTGATTGTCATTATTTTCCATGAAAAATATCATTTTTTTCCAACTTTTATTGTTTGATAGCCACTATTTTCCATGGAAATTGTCACTTTTTCCATGGAAAATGGTCACTTTTCCATGAAAATTATTCATTCAATTTTTTAGGACTTTCTTCCATCACAAAAGCCTGTTTAGTGAAGTGAACCAGTGCCATATTTTTTATTCTGATCCGAATGTCAACTATTTAATTAATTATAGGATACATTAATATTAACAATGTTGTTCTCATTGCTTAAGTTAAAAAGTGCACTACTATTATGCAAGAACAATATGCTGCTAGATCGACGTTTGTCCAACATATATGAAGGAGATCTAGCAATTGCAGACCAAATACATTAACAATGTTTATCAACTCTCCTTGATTCTGTAACAGAATCTTCACTCTCTCAATTGGTGCAACAGCACTTTTTCGCTATAATTGTAGCAGACCCTACCATAATAAAATCCACGAAAATTTTTTTCAGATCGTGTTGCCATCTCAAATCCCTCTCCCTTGCCCTCCGCCCCTCCCTAGACCTGCACAGTGAACATCCAAATGATGTTTCAGAAATTTTTTATCTTTTCTCTAGCTATGTTTTCCTTTTAATTCTCCTCCTCGTAGGTTTTTACCACTTTTTAAAATTAAAAACAGACTCTATGAGGTACTTTTGTAAATGAGATTAATGGACTGAAACCAAGCAGAAAGACGAGCCGAATCAACAACTGCCTGAACCGAACAGCAAGAACCCAGCAAAACACACTCTGACCAAGGCTAGCTGCAAACCGAAACTGATTAAATCACCCAAAATCTAGAGAATTTTGGACGACTAACCAGCAAAACCAAGCTATCTGAATGCAAATTCCAAGCAGGATTAACCTCCCAAACATGCAACCAATTTGACCAGCAACAACCAGAAACAAAACTGAAGTAGAACTCCAACCTAAAACTTGAGAAAAAGTCGAATTGGAACAAGAAAATGAAATTCCTAATTGCTAATTCGATTTTAATTAAGAGAGTCCAAGTAAAATCAAATACAACAAGAAGAAATACCACAAAACCAAGAAAGCTCGAAAGTGCAAGAGGCACTAAAAGGGAGATTTTCTCTCTCTAACCACTTTACTGACTGAGAGCTCAAAAACTTGAAACTTTCAAGACCATTGCAGTACCATTTTGGCCTGAGATTTCATTTGGCCAGCATTTAATCCTTCAAGAAACTTTAGAATCTTCAGACGGAGATCTAGCAATTGCATACCTCTAAGAAACATATCCGTATAAGCACTCACAAAAGAATTCTTCCAATAAATCCACTCAATTCGGCCCAAAAGAAATGCATACACAATCTATGAAATAAAACCCTATATTTCGAAATCGATTGAATGGATCCCCAGTTCCTATCTCTTGTGGAATAGCAAAATTTCAAATCACAGATGCAAATCTAAATCAACCAATTTCTTCAAATTTAAACTCCATACTGATGCAACTGAGTATTAAAACGCATACAAACGAAAAAGAAAGGGGAAATATGCTTGTATATACTCGTTGATCTGAGCAATAGCATGACCTTCTGCCTGAATTTCTTTTCGGTGGGTTTATGAGAGAGAAAGGGAAGTAAGACGAGAATGAAGGTATTGTGGGTGAGTGGGAGAGAGAAGGAATTCCATGGAAAATAAAATCCTCCTCATGCTAGGGAAAATATTTTCCTTGATTTCATGGAAAATGTGGTCACGTGAGCAAAAGTGGGAAAACATTTTTCGTGGAAAAAAATAGTAATCAAACAGTACAAAAGTAGAAAATTAGTTGGAAAAAACATATTTTCTATGGAAAATATTGCCAATCAATCACACCCTTAGTGAAAAATTGCACAGCAAATCATGCCCCTTATTAAGACTTTAGGTTCTATTTGAGCCTATTTTTCGAAAATAAATTTCGTAATAATGATTTTTTTAGAGAATGTGTGTTTAAGAAGTTGGATTTTTTTTAAAGATGTACGTACAAATTATTTTATTATGAGAATGCGTAATTAAAAATGAATTTGAAAAAAAAATTAGTTTAAAGATAAGGGGCTCAAACAGATAATTAAGTTTTGAAACAAATGCTAACTCAAAGGGATAGTTTAGTGATCAGGCTTTGTGTTTGTTTCTCAACGGTCACTAGTTCGAATCCTCTCAAAATCACTGAGGTGAGTACCTAACTGTAAACTTCAGCGGCCCGTGGAATTATGCTGGTCTGCCAAGCTTTGCAGATAGGATTTGGGAACAGATGCCATTAACTTTTTCTTTTTTTTTTTCAAAACTTTCCATTCAGATGTTGACACATATTATCGAGATTAAATCCCTGTTTTTATTATTAATTTTACAAGGGTAGTCTAGAACTAGTGTTAAAATAGACTTATTCCAAAATTTTAGGTGTCAGCCCCGGTTCGGCCTATAAATAATGCCCTAAATCCTAGGGTGCTTTTTAGTTTGGCCTAGTCAGACTAACTATTTTCCACATTGACCAATTCTTTTTTGTCATTCACTACAATGGCCCTTTGAAGAGTAAATGAGGTTTTTTACCCTTATTATGTTTTGTAATTATAAAAATATGTTATTATTCAAAAGATTATAAATAAATCCAAACACTTCCCACTTGAATTTCAAAACGAAATTAGTTTTCTTATCATTTTCTCCGACATAGATAAAAAAAATTTCATTCTTCATCTGCTTCATAGACATCACTCGAAATCGGTAAGTATAATAAGTATTTTTAATTTCGTTTTAGTATTTTAGTATATTGTTCAAATATTTAAAACTTATTTCGAGGTAGACAAATAATTTTTTACAACCTTAAAAAGATCTATAATTTTTTAAGCAAAAACGAGAAAAAAATTCATCTGCATGCATATTTATTTCACAAAAAATTCATATTCGTCTGTGAAATTACCAAACAAAGTAGATGGGGACGATAACGACCGGCCCAAACGATCCACCCGGCTGTTTCCGGCCCGGACCCTTTTTTAAATAATGATAATTATTTATTTTATAATTTATTTGTTTATATTTGATGAATTATGTTAATTGTTTATTTAAGTAAATTAAAAACTAATTGAAATTTAATACCCCGAACTTGACGTTATACAATTGGCCAATATAATTCATGCATTTCATGCTAATTACATTGTCATTTGCATCAATTTCCTAATTGCTTTCTTTTAAAATGATGCATTCAATTATCGAGGCTTTAAAATCTTTACGTGGTGACAGTCTTTGACTCTTCGACCTAGGTGGTGAAGTTTACATTGAGTTATGATAGAAAATTAGGTTAACTAAATGTTGGAAATTAGCTTGGTAAGTAATGGGAATATCGAAAGGGTCGGAGTTAGTATCGACAAAGGTTCAAGCTTTCCATTCGGTTGATCAAGGTCCCTCTTAAATCCTAGATAGGTAATTGACATATTTGGGACATGAGGCATAAAGTGACATGATCATGACGTAATAATATATGTCTCATATGACATTATAAATATTGAGGTGCGAATTGTTGAAATCGATCGAGAATCGGGTGCCAATCGAGTAAGTAATTGAATGAACAGTTAATGAATTAGCTCTATAAAATATGTTGGGATCTTAGGGCAAGTAAAATGGATTGTAAACACATTAAAATAAGTCAAGGACACTTGATTTGTACCTGCAAGGATTGGTACAAAATCAGATTTTTACCATAAAACACCACCTCATGCTTAGAATAGTTGTCATTTTAACATCCAATTCCTTTATTCTTGAGGTATTCAGCACGTCCCCTGCCTCTTGTATTTCATATATATATATATATATATATATATATATATATATTATAAGCCAATATGGGTTAAAATAGTACAAGAGAATAGTCAAATATAGCATGAAGAGGCCACCTCATGCTTAACACTTGGTAACTTGGCTGCATCCCACATTTTCTTAATCCTTGAGGAAGAGTCATGTCCCCAACCCCTTTAAGACTCTATATACACCTCCTACCAACATATTTAGCCTTCCAAGTTATCCCCAATTGACCACCAATTGAAAGAGAAAGCCAAAAGGAATAGTGAGAAGCAGAAACAAGGAGCTGAAACTGAATTTCTGTATAAGTAAGTTTAGCTCACGGTTTTGAAGGTTGTTTTCATTGTCTTTG